TCTATTGCTGGGCTAAAAAAGAGAAAATCGCTGATGATGGGTTTCAAACCCTTGACCATGCGCACGGAAGATCACGCTCAAGACCACTGCGCTACACGCTTGGTTGCGTCAACTGTACCTGGACGGGGGATGAAGAACGAATGCGAACAAGATCCTGGGACCTTGGCATTGTGCGCGAACATCTGCTGGGCTGCGGGAATTTGGACTCGTGTGCGGACAGAAAATACCTGGTAGCGATCTGAATTTTTCCGGTGATTAAACGTATGTATATATTCGATGGGACACGAATAACAACCTTCAAATCTTCTATTGTATGACCTTTATACGATCTCTAATAAATCTTGGTGGAGCGATTTATTAGATTTCTCAAAACCTCTTGATCATCTTCTTCTAAGACCTTACGGTGCTAACCAAATTTTCTTTTGAAGAAGAATCTCTCTCTTTCTTTCTCGCTTGAAGAGGCCGAATTTCTCCAGCCGTTCGGGGAGAAAAACGTGTAAAGCTTATTCAAGAGGTTAGGGGATCTAGTGTATTTATAGGCTACAATAGGGACCTAAAGGAGGTGCTAAATATGGGCTTTGTTGTTACCTAATTTTGGCCTCGCCTATTAAAATATTACACGTGGATATATATATTAAATAAATATAAATTAGCATGTTCTTTTTCTGTTTAATATTGATCGAGTTCTCAGAAGACGAGATTCGTATTCAAACGCCGTCAGCTCGACCCAGATATCACAAAAAGCCATTTATACAGACACATCAATTGCTGAAAAGACAAATACCAGTCGAAGCTATTAGTTATTAATGAGCCCTGCGCGGTCATATTTATTATTAGACCCTGCGCGGTCATATTTATTATTAGACCCTGCGCGGTCATAATTATTATTGGGCCCTGCGCGGTCATGTTTTATCGTAAAATCCCATTAGATATACGGGCCGATATTAGCCCAGCTATAAATAGGGGCTAAAGAGATAGAGATAAGGATACCTTTTATTTTGTCCTTATCAG